TTATTTATTTATTTTTATCTTTTTAATTAAGGGAAAAATTAAAAAAGCAGAATATATTATAGTAACCCACTTTGATTTCCTATTAACTTGATTTGAAACCCTGTATTGCTCTCACCATTTGGTTTTGACTGATTTTACTCTATTCTGTTTTGCTTGATAGTACCAAGTTTAAGAGTATAGGCAACAACTGTGAAGACAATAAGATTCGCTATGATGCCCATTCTGGTTTGACTATTATCTTCTTTTGAAGTCCTGTAATGTCTCCAATGTTTTTGTTATATTGGTTTTGTTCTTTACTGTTTTGTTCAATTTTATTATAACTGATGATACAAGCAATTCTTTTTAAGATAGCAAGAGGTATTATGGTAACCATTGTTGATCACCTTGTATTCTGTTTTTACATTATGTACTATGTTCATCCTTCTGATTTGACTGACTCTGATTTGTTATTTCACATTTGGTCCTATTCTCTTAAAAAAAAGTAATAAGAATTGTGGGAGTAATAAAACCCAAAATGTGTAATTGTCGTTGTAAAAAAGAGAGGAAAAGAAAGTGTTCCAAAGATATAACTGCATGTATATTTAAGTGTATAAGATAGATAACCATATTCCCGAGTTTTTGTTGGATCATTGGACAGAACTGTTTTTAGTCTCATTGTTTGAATGTCCTCCACTTTATATGCTTTAATTTTGTAACTTGAATAACTATTTCTAAGATGAAAATATGTAATCTATTAACTATGATTTCCTACTGTTTATTTTTTTGAAATTCTGTGTAACTTGTACCCTTTTTCTGTTTTTTTTCTTTTTCTCCTTAAATGAAATTTTAAAAAAAAGATTCAAAAGCATACCTTAGAAACAGTGCAGGATGGGTTTCAGACTATTACATTAAAGTGAATATTTCAGGAAAGTTCATCAAACACTTTTTTCTGGGGGTGGGGGTTTAGTTCAACTGTGTAAGTGCCTGCCTGGCAAGCTCAATCTCGTGAGTTCAATTCCTGGTACCAAACAAAACAAAACAAAAAAACTCCACTTTTAAAATTTACCAATACATATAAAAGTTATGTTTACACTGTAGTCTATTAAATCTACAATAACATTACATTTCTAAAAAGTGCACACTTCAAAAATACTACTAAAAATGCTACGGATGCTCTGAGCCTGAGGTGAGCCATGGTCTTTTTACTGGTGGAAGGTCTTGCCTCACACTGATGGCTGCTCACTGACCAGAGTGCTGGTTCCTGATGGTTGAGCTGGCTGTGGCAATTTTTTAAACAAGAAAACAAATTGCCTTCCTTTCAGGACAGATTTCTTGGTAGCATGTTAATGCCACTTGATAGCTTTCTACCTCATCTAGAACTTCTTACATAATAGGAGTCAGTTCCCTTGAAACCTACCCTTGCTTTGCCTACTAAGTTAATATCATATTTTAACTCCTTTGTTTTCATTTCAACAGGCTCACAGCATCTTCATGAGAAGATTCCATTTGAAGAAAGTACTTTCATTTCTCACATATAAGAATCAATCCACATTGATTATTTTATAATGAACTATGGCACTCAGTCACAATTTCACACTCATTTCTTTTGCTATTTTTATGCTACATATGTGGTTTCTTCCTACTGAAGTTCTGAGGCCCTAAAGTCATTCAAGAGAATAGGCACCAACTTCTCCCATATGTCTATTGATGCTGATATTTTGACCTTGTCTCTTGAGTCATGAGTGTTCCCATGGTATTTAAAACAGTGAATCCTTCCCAGAAGTTTTCAATTTACTTTGCCAAGCTCAGTTAGAGGAATCATTACCCATGCAAGGTATAGTCTTAGGAAATATATTTCTTAAGTAAGACTTGAAAATCAAACTTATGTTGGGCCAGGGATTTAGCTCAGCAGCTCAAGCGCTTGCCTGGTAATTTCAAGGTCATGAATTCAATCCCTGGTACAAATAAAATAAAATAAAATAAAATAAAATAAAGCTTATTTCTTGATCCATGCACTGTAAAATGAATGTTTTATTAGCAGGTATAAAGCAGCAGTAGGCTTAGTATATATTTCCATCGGAGCTTTTAGATAACCAGGAACATTGTCAATGAGAAGTAGTATTTGGAATTATATCTTTTTTTCTGAGCAGATATCAACAATGAATTGAACATACTTAGTAAACCATGTTGCAAAAATGGAATAGTAAGTGAACACTGGCTTAAAATCACCTGTTGAATTAGAGTCTAAACTGAATAAGTGAGTCCTCTGAAGTTTAGAAGCCAGGCATTGACTTCACCCCTCTAACGTTTCAAAGACCTAGAAGGCTTCCAATAAGACAGCTGCTTTGCCTATCCTGAAAATCTAATGTTTAGTGTAGATGCCTTTATCAATTATGTTATCTGGGTCATCTAGAGAAATGCTACTGCTCCTCCATCATTAGTTCTTGCCTCCCCTTGCACAATTATCATTCAGGAGTTCACTTCTTTCCTTAAAACTCAGGAACCAATATATACTAGCTTCAAACTTTTCTTCTGAAGCTTTCTTATCTCTCTTGGTCTTCATAGAATTAAAGAGAGATGGGGCCTTGTTCTGGAGTAGGATTTGGCTGAAAGGAATTTTGTTGCTGATTTGGTCTAGCCCACCCACCAAAGCTTTCTATTAGCAGTAGGGCTGTTTTGTCATCTGATCACTTCTGTATTCACTTAAGTAGCATTTTAAATTTCCTTTGCATTCACAACTTGGCTGTTTTGGTTTAAGGTGTAATTTTTGGCCTATTTTTCTTACCACACTTAATCATTTCTAGTTTTTGATTTAAAGTGAGATATTTATGGTTCTTTCTTTCATTTGAGTACATAGAGACTATTGTATATGACTAACTGGTGCACATCAAATATTGTTTTGTTTCAGAAAAGAGGGAAGACAGAAGAGAGGGACAGAGACAGGAGGGGGTCAGTCAGTGAAGCAGTCAAAAAACATACTTTTATCAATTACATATGCTCTTCATTGGGTGCAGTTCACAGTGTTCCAAAAACAATTATAACAATAACATCACTGGTCATATATCATAATTGATACAATAACAATGAGACAGTTTGAACTAGAACTTCTAAAATATGACATGGAAGTCTGGTGTGGTGGTGCATACCTGTAATCCCAACACTTGGGAAGCTGAGACAAGAGAACTGCTGTGAGTTCAAAGCCAGCCTGGAATACAAACTGAGTTCAAGGCCAGCCTGAACTGTATAGTGAAACTGTCTCAAAAAGACACACACACACACACACACACACACACACACACACACACACACACTACATGGAGAGATGAAGTGAGCACACACTGTTGGAAAAGTGGTGTTGATAAACTTGCTCACTGCAGAGTTTCCATAAATTCTTAATTTGCAAAAAAAAAAGTCTGCAAAATACAACAAAGTGAAGCACAACACAATGAGGAATACTTGTAAATAACACAGTATTATAGATGTTTAAGAAATTATAATTGTTACTTCTTATAAGAAAGTGGTAATCAGTTTTAAACAGTACCAAACAGGAAAAAGATGAAATGTAAAATAATCTACAGTCAAATTTCAAATTTCTCAATTAGGTAGTTTTGTTCAACCAGCAAAGGAGTAGGAGAAGTAAATGGAAGATAAAGATTATTCTTTCAGAAAGGGTACAGTGAATGGAAGTGAAGTGGGTTTGTATACAATATAGGAATCCAAAGAGCCAAATTGATAATGAGATTTTATTAGCTGAGCTCAGCGATAACTCGCACAGGCCCCTGTTTCAGAGTCCCACCGAGTGGTGGAAAGTTACAGATTTTTTTTTGGCGGGGGGGTATGGGAGATCGAACTCACTATCTCGCAGGCAGGTGCTACATGTAGCTACCGAGCTATATCCCCAGCCACCAACAGAGCTTTTAAAACAAAACTGCAAAACAAGACATCCTGTTGGAAACAGTTTAGCTAGAATCGTACATTAATTTTCTTGACACTTGAATCCTGCTTCTTTGTTGAGGAGGGTAATTTTTCTGTTGTAGGTGCAGCTCATTTTGCTTTTCTCATGGGACTTGTACCCTGAGTAAGTTTTGACTCTTTTGGGTCAAATACAGAGCACTAGTCAAATACAGGACACAAGATGGCATCAGTTATGCCAAGCTACAACAGAGAGGTGGTTTGATCAGTTGTAAAATGAGACTCTTCTTTTCTTTCTTTTTTCTTTCTTTTCTTTTCTGAGTTGAAGACACTTGTTTCCTGAGGGGAGAGAACAGATGAGGAAGGTCACAGATAATGGCGAGGGGATGGTATGGAATAGGATTCAGAGCAGCGGGCGGAGGAAGGACATTGAAGCCCCAGATTTCATGGGGGAAAACATAAAGAAATTGGAGAAATACAGGAAGAAAACGGAGTAGAGGAAAACTTAGAGTCCACATTTCTCACTTCTAATGAAGGTTGATTGAGAAGGAAATGGGAGGCGGCTGGAATGTTCAGTGCACAATTGGCAGTAGAGAAAGGCTCTGAAACCCTAATAACCATGGTGTTAATATCAGATTTCTAAAACTTCATTTTTTATTTTTTGGTACTGCGGATATAGCAGATTTCTCTACTCTGGACCATGTATTTCAAAAGATAAGCAGGAGAGCACTGTCAAATTTTGCCTGGAGGGGCGTGTGTGTGTGTGTGTGTGTGTGTGTGTGTGTGTGTGTAAACACAGTCATTGACTCACAAATGCCTGAGCAACTGCCAAAAGCAAAGACAAAGCTATGGAGCATAATTTAAGTCATATGCCATTTTACAAAACAAATTAAGAGCCGAAACAATTCCAAACCCTACCGCCCTGTCCCACCAATCATCCCTTTTGGATCTCTTGATTGGCTAAGACCACAGAAGCGCTTCGCAATAAAAATTCTAAGTTTAACGTTGATGGACGGCATAAAGAGACCATCTCGGCCAGTGATTGGTTGAACTGTCCAAGGTCTAGCCAATCCAGAAAGGGGCGGGCTGGTTAAGCGTCAGGTGTCCAGGAGTCACATTCCTCAGACTTACTGGTCAGCCCAGTAACTGACTTCTTTTCTTCCTCTCCTGGACCCTAAGGCAGAATCTAATGGAGCTTTCTTACCAGACCCTCAAATTCACTCATCAGGCGCGCGAAATGGTAAGGAAAGCGTGGGGAAAGAAACAATGGACCGGGAACTCCTGTCTCTTGTCGCCGCCTGCCGCACGACTCTCTGATTGCCATGGCGACAGAGTCCGCAGCCGTATTGGCGCAAACTCAGGGAGAAGCCCTAGGCCCCGGTCGTAAAATCCAAGGCTGGGCAGGAGGCTGTGATGGAAAAGGGATAAATGTGAGACAGCGGCCGGTTTCGGGCTGACAACGGGTTTGATCGAGGGTAGTGTGGGTGGTGACTGAGGTATCTGACTGAGGTGACTGAGGTGTCAGACTGTGTAACAAGTGGCAGGTAGTATCAGGCAGACTGGAGCTTGCTGTGGTCAAAATGATACTATGGAAATGTAAGAAAGCTCTGACCTGGAGTTTGGATTTAGTTTCAAACACGCAGCTGCCAAGGCTGGGGATCTTGGGTATTTAATTCCCTTCCTGGGCTTCAGTTTTTTCTATTTGAAAGAAAAATAGTTGAAATGCAATCCTTTTCACATGAAGATTCCGTGAACTTTATAGTACATTACGAGGTTTCCTGGGATCTGTATCATCTGCCACTGGACAGCAATTCTTTCTATGACAGTGAACATGAATTGAGAGGTACCCCACGACGGGCGCTGGGGATATAAAAGCAATGCTGGTATAGGCCCCACTTCTAGAGATTCATATTTGCAAATCCGGGATGGCCCTGTGTATCAGTATATTTTCAAAGGTCATTAGGTAATATGATGTGTCGCTAAGCATATGAACCACTGCTCTAATGTTAGCTACCTTTTAAACAACTAACATAAAAATTAGATAACCCTGTGTTTGGCATTCCCTCTACCTGTCAAACCTCTATTTTTCTCCAATTTCAATAAAGTTTTTGCCACTTCCTTACCAATGAATTATACTTACACTCAGTTTGATCTGAAACTAAATTACATACCTACATCAGAGTACTTTGGGTTGACTTTAATAAAGCAGATTCCTGGTTCTCATCATGACTTACTGAATCAGAAAATAGTGTGGAATCTTCAAACTTGGATTGTAAACCTCATGTTTGAAGATCACAACCCCAAATGGTTTCACATGTTTTCATGACCTTAAAGAGCATCTACATACCAAACACTCCTCCAAATTAACTCTGGACTAGATCTCTATACTGAACCCCAGACTCATATCCTAGAACTGTGGTGGAGAGCCTATGACACATGTGCTACAGGAGGCATCCAGAGTCCTCTGTCAGCACACAAGAAAAGTGGCTCCAGGGAGCCAAGTCACCCCAAGTAGTGCTCCAGCAGCCATTCACCTTTAATTGCAGTGTTGGCACTTCATGATAAATGAGTTTGGGATTGCAGTTTGGGCACTCTAAAAGGTTCACCATCACTGCCCTCAAAGATGGATTATAGGGAAGACAATGAATCATCTGGTTATGGAATATTCAGTGGTATATCTCAAGTATCTTCATCTTAGCTTGTTCCACATTTAACTTTTAACTTCTGTACAAATTAAACCTTTTCTAGTCTTCCCCAGGTTGGGATTGTGAAACCACCACACACTCAATTGCTAAAATCAGAATTCTCAGTCATCTGTAACTCCTTATTCCTAGTCCTTCCCTCTGTCCTTTATGAAAGAAGACACCAGATTCTATAGATTCTAATTCTGTAATGTGTTTTCAATAATACATGTCTCTATAGCCACCATCCTGATCTACCAAAAATCCCTAAACTGCTCTTAGCTATGCTCTGTTGCTTTTTATCATTCTTTAATCCTCTCTTCAACCAACAATCAGAGCCATTTTCATACAATTGAGTTCTTCTCTGACTGAGGTCCTTTAGATGGCTTTTCATTATGCTGAAGCCCCAAATTTTGACAGAACCTAAAATGCACTGCACTAAATGGCCCCTGCGTTGCCTCCAGGCTCTTCCTTATTTATTTATTTCTATTTTAAAGAGGAAAAAGTAAACAAAAATACAGACAATATTATGGAGTTTCAAAAAGGATAATAAGAAATGACCTCTTTCCTCTTTGCCTTTCACAGCTCCAGCTGCATTCTGTTTAATCTGACACTGCTCTAAACTCCATATAGTTTGCACCACACAATTTAGTGCTTAATTTATATTATCTGTTTCCTGTATGTGACAGAATCTTTAAAAAGTCTCCTGTAACTTGAAGGCAGAGATCTGATTCTTAGTTTTTGTTTTAGTGCCTAAATGGTACTAAACAGTAATTAAGGTTTGCTTTTTGGTGGCTGGATCACTTGGGGTCAAGGGATTAGGGATCTACTGAAGGGAAATGGAAGGAGGCAGAGGAGGTGATTGGGTGAACTGAAGGTTAAGAGAGCTATTTGTGGTATTTACAAGGACCTAGAATCACCTGCATCAACTACTGTATTAGGATTTCCAGAATATTTTCTTTCTATTTGGTTGATTTTATTTTGAATTATTTATGCATTTATGTTCATTTTGTTTTTATTAAAGTAATCTCAGCATGTACTTTAAAATTGCAATAGTTAGAAAAACTTAAAGAAAACCTAGCCTCCTGCTTCATTTCACTTTGCTGTTAACTATTGTTTCCATAAGTAACCATTTGGCTTGTTTTAGAAGCTTCTTCAGAATAGTATGTTTACATTTCTGATTCTTGATTTTTCATTGCCTGTTGCAGTGTACTTTTTATGGGAGATGAGTATTTAACTCTCTTTTATACCCCCCTTCTCTTTCATCCACCATCAGCTTGTACTTCCCCTTCCCTATTTTCCCAAGGTAAAGAGAAATTCTATCATAACTTTTGGCAAATCAATTTATAGTTGATATGATCATTAACAACAGCCATTTTGCATACTGTGATTACATTGTTTTTTTCATTTAGTTTCTGGGACAAGACTGAATCATATCTTATAAGTGCCTTATTATGATTTAGTTTCTGTATATTGGATACCATCTCATTCTCAAACTTTCTGAAAAAACTGTATAACTCTCAATGTAGTAATGTTCATGCAGTCATTTCTAAGCTCCGAGTTGCTTTTTTTGTGATATCCTTTCTGGATCTCCCTCACTATCTTTTGTGTGGCTCTCCCTCTTTCTCCTCTCTCTTTCTCTGAGCTTGATGGACAGCTTTCTTTCTGGAAAATTCCCTCATCTCTTTCTGTGTTAGAAATCCTGTTTCTTGGGTTCCCAGCTTCCTCCTTTTTGCCCTACATTCCTTGTTTAGTGAAACACATCAATCAGCCACTGCCTAAAAAAGATACAAATTCTAATGTGTGAGACCTTGGAGCACATGATGATAAAGCCAGCACTCTGTGAAACTGAGGCAGGAGCATTGAAAATTTGTGTCCAGGCTGGGAAATTTAGAGATAGCTTATCTAAAAATATAAAAAAGGGCTACAGATATAACTCTGCATAAAGGCCTTGGGTTCAGTCCCTAGAACAGAGAGTGACAGACAGAGAGACAAAAAAGAGAGCAGGAGATGAGAGTTTTTGAAACAGGTTATATATGAAACCTTCTATTCACTTACTTTGATTGATACTTTAATAGATTAATACTTGGGGTTGGAATTTATTTCAGCTCAATTGTGAGGATGTTGCTCCATTATCTTTTAGCTTTCAACATAATAGTTATGACTCTGATGCTATTCTTTGTCTTCTTCTGTAAAAGCTTTTAGAATCTTAATGTCTCAGAGTTCTGAATTTTCATGATGGTGTGGCTTGTCAAGGATCCTTTGTTCATAAGGTTGATATGAAGTTCCAGGTCATTTATATTAAAATAATTCATGTTCTCATTCTGAAAAAACTTATGTGAAAGGAATTCATGCCCTCATTCTGAAAAAAATTTGTTTTTTTTCCCCACAAAATAATTCTCTCTTCTGTCTCTGTTTTTACTTCTCTCTGTCCTTGTCATGTTTGTATTTTTTCTTTCTGGAAGTCCTAATTGTTGGGTGTTGACTTTGAAATTCAGTTTCCAATTATGCTATTTCCTATTTTATTTCCCTTAACCCATTCTATTTACTGAATTTTAAATTTTTTCTATAGTATTCCTCTTTCCATGTTTTTTCTATTGATTGTCTGAATGCTTCTTTTTCATAGTATGCCATTCTTCTAAGATACCATGATTCCTTTTATCTCACTGAGAGATCCCCTCACCTCTGCTCCTGTTTTTCTCTCTCTCTGTCTCTCTCTCTCTCTCCTTTTGCTCCTAGCATTTTTCTTGTTTTCATGCAAATTTCCTTTGTATTTTTTCTGCTCCTATCATATAGAAAATTTTCCCTCAGAAGTCTGCTATCCTTGGCCATCCATTTGTTTTTAAGAATGAGACACCTACTGGGCTTAGTAAACCCAGCATTCTGGTGGGTAAAACAGGAGGCTCAAACACGTTTGAAGCCAGCATGTGCTGCATAGTAGGTTCAAGGCTAGCCTGGAATACATGGGAAAGCTGTCTCAAAAGACCAGTGAAAAAGAGGAACACCTAAAAGCTAACTGCAATATGTGCGCTTTAGAGAAGCTTGTCTAATAAAGATGGATTTATCTGTGGAATGCTCAGAGGACTAGAGGCCTTTTCACTAGGGACCCCCAAATGTCATTGTCTTAAGAATCTATTGAATTTCTCCTGAGAATAAACTTCTCATCTTCTAGCAGTGTAGCTGAGGGTTTGTTACCTAACAGGGTGGGGAGGAATCTGTTATCCTCTGCTCAGCCTGCCTCTGACTCCTTATTTCTTCCCTTAGAGGTTTCTGGTGTCTCTAGAGGTACCTGGTGTACCTAGTTTCTGTTATTTTCCAGTATCTTGTCATGGATGTTCGCGTTTTGTTGGTTTCTTCTCCCGTAGATATTGTTTTTTGTTTTTGTTGCTATTGTTACTTGCTTTTCTCTGCCAGTTTTATTGATGTGTATGTCTGTCATTAGCTTCAGTTCTGAATTGTTTTCTTGATGGATCATAAACTTCTATTCTTTCACCACCATTTTACTATGTTTTTGTGAGGGAAGAGCAACAAATGACCTCTAAAACACTTTTTATTTAGA